GAAAGTTCCTCAAGCACAAGCATGCGGGTGTCAAGCATTTGCGCAACTTTGCTCAGCTTGATGCCGTCGTTGCCATCACCGCAAGACTTCTGAAGGTAGGAAAGCACCAAACCCTTTGCTTCATCAATCGCTGTGTTCAACTTGTTGCGCACATCTTCCATCTCTGCAAGCGGCGGAAGGAGCATTGCAAAGCCTGCTGGTTTGGACTTGTTCGGGGTGCGGTCGTGCTCAATGTAGTCCTTCATCTTTCGCAAGGTGTCCGCCGAAAGCCCGCTGACAATGGTTTTGATGTTATCGGTTGAAGCCCCTGACAAAGCGGAAGCATGGGAGAAGGCACCCTGAAACTTGGAGATGTCAGCCTGCGTGGTCTTGTCGCTAGTCTTTGACTTGACAATGGTTTTGATGATGCCGTGGGATGGAGCACCTCCCCTCAAGCGAAGCACCAAGTAAACCTCCCTCACAAAGTCTCCATTCACAACCTCATTGTCCGGGATGACCATTGAACCATTCGTCAGCAGGAAGTCGTCGACGGTCATAGTGTTGGTGTTGCCCTTTTTCTCTGCGAAGTAGCGGATGTGGCACAACACCTCCTGCTTCATGTCAAGCCCCGTGGACACAAGGTTGTCAATCTCAATGCTGAACATGCTAGCGTCGCCCTTGAAGGTAAACACCGTGACGCTAACCGGATTGGCAAAGAAGTCCGCGGCGCTGTTGACATAGAACTCAAAGTCCAAGGGGACCATCCCGCAAAACTGCTCAAACTCCGCCTCCAGGTCCGCGTTGCATGTGTCGCTGAAAATGTCCTCCTCTGTGTCTGTGTCAGTGTCCGGAATGACACCCTCCTCACTGTCCGCGCTGTTTTCGTCCGAAACCTCGCTGGGAGGCGCATTGAAGCGCTCATAGTTGAAAGCCCAGAAGTTCACAAGGCGTGTGGCAATGGCCTTTTTGCCATCCTTGGGGTCAGAGCAACCAGCGTCAAGCACCTTCAGAACCTTGTTGAGCTGTCCAATGGTCAAGGAGTTTGCCATAGACAGCGTCAGCGGAGTGGACACCATCTCATCAAAGGTCTTCATCTCCATGACTTGTCCCGGGGCAATCATGACGGGCATGAAGTAGGTGTCGTCCTTCTTGTAGAAGAAGAGCTTAGGCGTTCCCCTGATACATGCCTCATAGTTGCGGGGAGCATTGGCGAGCGCGTGAGCGCTAATCTCGTCCCACTGGTTCAAGGTGAAGGCCACGAACTGGCTTTTGGCACTGCCTTTTGACAGAGTGTATCCAAATGCCTTGAACACCGCCTTGATTTGTTCAACGGAGAGAGTCTCAAACTGTTCACGAGTTGGCGGCACCAATGGAACAGCAAGGTCAGCAGGCACGAGCACTGACCCCGGCTCCTTTTCCATTGGCAGGAAGCCATCGCCGCGACGGATGAAAAAAAACATTCTCACCACTTACAAGCGGTATTGCAAACCACCAGCACTTGAGCAAAGCAACTGGAGAAGTATGTTTGCACAGCATGACTGCAACAATTCATCTCAGGACAATGACAGAAGCATCATAAACAGGTCAGGGCGCACTAATCAGAGATGTTCAGGAAGTCCACGAAGCCGGGACGGCGCGACGGTTGCCCCAGAAACCCCAGAAAACCCTAAAATCCTACAAGGGACACCACGCCCCAAAAAAATATATGATAAAAGTGATGAAACGAAGGAGGAGAGTGATGTTGTTGCTGTTCTATTTCTTGTCCGGGAAATGGACAAATCGTTTTTAGACAGTTCGAATATTTTTTTGATGACAAATATTTTTTGCAATATATTTTGCAAAATTTCTTTTTTTGAAATGGACGAGGCGAGGAGATTGAGGAAATGATATTTTGGAGGGTAGTTGGTGAAATGAATGAGGCGAGGAGGAAGGAGAAAAGGATGGCGAAAATTTTGGAAAAATGATGATAAAAAAACGGATGAGATGGACAGTAAGGAATGTAGAAAAATGATGAAAACAAATAAGGGTAGAAGATGGAAGATGAAAAAAAATGTAGGGTGGGGGGTATGTATGAAAGCAATTTATTGCTGGGCGTGGCCCTCGACTACTGTTTTTCCCCCTGTTTTTTAGCTAGAAACGCAGCTACGGGCAAACGTATTGCAGACACGGGGCTTCCCTGCAGCACTTTAGCTCTTGGATTCTTCGCAGGACATGGTCGTTTCCTGGACGGACAAGTCAGAATCCCCTCAGCTGCATCAAAACCCGGTGGAGAATCCGGAGGTGCGCTGTTGCTGCTCCGGGTCCGTGGGAGTTGCCCCTGCTACCTGTGCTACCCGTGCTACCCGCGCTATCTTGAAAAAACGCACTCAGAACGAGCGTGTCTGCATTTTGTGCTGGGTAGCACGGGTAGCACGGGTAGCATGAGCGTGTTTGAAGGTGAGAGAGAAGAGAGCAGAGAGTCATAGAAGAATATGAGGCCGACGTCCCAAAAACACCCGTGCTACCCGTGCTACCCACGCTACCCGACTCATGCCTGGGTAGCAAGCTGCTGGGCCACTACCAGGCCACTGTGTGGACCTGACGGGATTGAAGTCCACACCCTTGGATGGCAAAAGAAACCTGCAAAAAACCGTTCCAGGACTAGTGTTCAAGGCTGCGGGTCGCCGGGCCACGTACAGGCCACGTACAGGCCACGTACAGGCCACGTACAGGCCGCACGCGTGCAAAAAAAACATGCAAAAAACCAAGCGCGCGCTGGGTGGACTCTTGTCGTTGTTCCACGATTGCGGGAGCCATCGCCGGGCCATCGCCGGGCCATCGCAGGGCCCGTACGGGCCACGTACAGGCCACATGCGTGCCACATGCGTGCCACATGCGTGCCACATGCGTTCCATATGCATGCCACATGCGTGCAAAAAAACCATCGCCGGGCCATCGCCGGGCCATCGCCCGGGCCATCGCCGGGCCATCGCTGGGCCACGTGCAGGCCACGCACGGGCCACACGCGTGCCACATGCATGCCATGCATGCCACATGCGTGCCGCATGCGCGCCACATGCGTGCCATATGCGTGCCACATGCATGCTAAAAAACCATCGCCGGGCCATCGCCGGGCGCCATCGGCGGGCCACGTACAGGCCACGTACGGGCCACGTACAAGCCACATGCGTGCCGTGCCATATGCGTGCCACATGCGTGCCACATGCGTGCCATATGCGTGCTGAATGCGTGCCAAATTCTATGCATTTTTTTCCCCCGTCAATCCTGTGCTGGCCACAGGATTGCGCGTAGCCCAGCGACCCCACAGCCTGCGGAAGACATAGCGACAATTCGACATGTCTCCCGCAGCCAGTGTCAGACATACGAGACTGCTCGTATGTCTGACACAATCACTCACCCGACATGCCGGACTGTCCACATGTTCTGTCAGACATGGCGGATAGTCGCTATGTCTGACAGAGTAGCCCGAACTTCGACCGACATCGCCGGTCAGTTGGTGAAACATGCCGGACTGTCTCCCAGCGGGCGTCAGACATAGCGGATAGTCATATGTCTGCCAGGTCGCCGGTCAGTCGCTGGCCGGCTTCCCATCTTCAGATTTGGGAAGTTGTGTAACGCAAAGGACGATGGGAAAGATCAAACTTTCGAAAAGATCTATGTCTTCAGCCCGAACAAGTGGGACGAGTCCGCCTTGTGCTTTTTCGGAGGCTTTGGATGCTTTTGACGCTCGATCTTCGGCTGGATGGGACGGCGCCGGCATCGAAAAAATGAGGAGATTTCAGACGTTTAATGGTTTGAGTTCGTGCGCTGTTGAAACCTCAGTTGCTGTAAACGATACGATGAGTTGATTCATATAGTCATTATTCTGTTTTGTTAATGCTTATTATGTTTATTGTTTGACCTAAGATATATTTATATACACACAGTTATGGTAAGATTAAACAATATGCTTGCTACAGGGCTGAGCCATGCGCGAAGTACAGCTAGACTGGCCAAAACACGATCAGTACAAAAACGTGGCGAGGGCAAAGATATGAAATCCAACACCTTTCCTGGGGCCTGGAAGGCTGTGACCCCACATGCTTGGTTGATACATTCAACGACAAATTGCATTGCACCGACTCATCTGGCAAGAGTTGCCACAAATACATTGCAACAAGCGCCGGCACTCCCAAAAAAGTAACGACACGAATTGAACAAGTTGTTTTGCCCATGCCGCATCCCATGTTCCACACCGCTGTCCACTCATGTGCGGTCTTTGTTCTGTGAAGCGTAGGGTTTGAGCCAAGAGCTGTATGTCTGCCACTCTTTCTTAAGACTGAACTAGGGTTCGAAAATAGCCCAATGGAGTCATGGATACGTAAACGGGCAGCATGAACAGCAAGTGCTCAACAGGTGAAACCAGCCGTCGTTTGCAGTTTCAATCTTATTAGCAATGCGTGATGCAACAGCTCTTGGCTCAAAGTCCGCGGCCGGTGAAAGCTTAACAATGGGAAAGGCTCGCTCAAACTTGCATGCGTTCCGCAAGCTTTGCATATTACATGTCCAAAACATGTTTAGGCAGTTCATGTGCTTCAGGTGCACGGAAGTCAGACACTCGATTGTTTTGCGGTTGGCTGCGCCGAAGCCACGCTGTTTGCTGGTTTGTCGTCCTAGGTTTGGCTCGTGCCGGAAAGGTCAAGAACCAGACCCCAAAGGTTGCGAAAGCGGAGAAGAAAAAGGCCTTGTATGTTCGACCAATGTTCCGAGAGTTTGCTTCAGCCTAAGCTGTTGGCACGCGATCTTCTCATGCGCCTTGGCCAGAAGCTGACCGGACGTGCCAAGAAGCGATTCGTCTACAACCGCCGTTTCGTGAGCGTGCGCCCGCAGGAGATTTCTTGGAAAAGCTGTTGGGAATCTTTGCAAAAGCTGAGGTGGTGAAGACTGGGCCCAAGCGCGGACCCAACTCCAACGCTGGAAAGTGAGTGTCGGCAGCTGAGAGTTCGGGCGTAACACTTTTGGAAGTTCTGGCTTCGGGCAAACAGTGGCCGCTTTCTGGCTCAAGAGATGATCCCAGCTTCTCTGCTTGATGGCCCCTGGACACTGCTGGTTGGGCGTGCGCAGATCCTGTGGCCTATGCCGCCAACTGTTCCTTGATTGCTTGAAGTCATCACAACATGCAGCTGACTTTATTGAATAGCTTCCGACATGTCGTGACGACTGTCTGCATTTGATCCGAAGTCAAGGTTCTTTGGAGCAAGTGGAGGTGTTCAATCTGTTAAGGACAACATTCGTATTTGCATGCCTTCATCGTGTGGCTGATGCTGTGCAAGAGGTAGGCTCGAAATTGCCAGGATAGGGAAGGCACTTCCGACCTGCAGAAAGACCGGTCATTGACCTGCCCAGCACGAACTTGTTCGACACTTGGAGACCTCTTATCTAGGGTGTCAGATGTTTGGGCTGGCTGCCTGTGGATGAAACCAATGTCTTTTCGAGCTAATGACCCAGCCATGTTTGCTTGCTTGAGGTTCGTTGACGGAGAAGGACACCAATTCCTCCAAGGCTTGATGAACCCATATGAGCTGGATATAACTCCTTCACCTCTCTTCCCAAGGTGACGAACGTGGATTACTCACGTTTTGAGCGCATTGTGAAGCAGGATGATCTTCAGGACAGAGCATGCAGTACTACGCAAGCTTTGATGCGGCACATTGGGGAGACAACCTTCTAAAAGAAAGCTTTGCCCACCATGGCTATGCATCGCAATGTGAAGGACGGACTGGCAATCGCAGTTGCGGTTTGTGGCCGGAAGGGCTGGAACAGCGAGGCCGGCCAAGAGCGCAAGCGGTGCAAAAAGCGCCGGCGGTCAACGGCGTTGCAGGTGGTCAACGGCGTCTACCGACAGGACGGTGTGCTGAATGGCCGGGCCAGGCTCAGAAAAAGCGGGGAGCTGGGCCGCCAATGTGACGCGACGACGCTTCACGCGCTTAGGTGACGGAACACGGTGGTTCAAATTCACGGACAACCACAAGTGGATGATATCTAGGCAGGGAGCATTGGTGTGTCAAACTTCCCCAAAGTCTACTGCAAGGTTTCCAGATGGTCGGCCGCTTGGCGAAGCAGTCGCCGAGGATGCTGCGGAAGATCCCAGAAGAATCAGGGAACCCTGGCACGTGTGTACTGAGGCTGGGTTCCAAGTGACACTGCACTGCACACCTGCAAGGTTTCAGCATGCCCCGTAAAAGGAGTTGAGCTGGGAGATGGACGAGCTCATGTCCGTCACGCCGGGCGAATGTTCAGGATGTTCCTTGTCCCATCAATTATTTGCACGTTTTGTTTTGCACAGTGTCAAGGTGATACAGCAATCGTTGAACTGAATGCAGAACATAGAATTGAACAGACATGGATGAGGTGGACAGCTCTTGCGGCGAGCTCTGCGATGCAGCCAGTGTCGCGGAGTCAGCTATTGTGACCTCAAGTGCCAGAAGGCCTGCTTGACTGCAATGACCTGTTTGATTGTGACAACTCATGGAGAAATGTGATGTGTTCCCCCCTTGAGGCCGACTGGCAATTTCATAGAAGAAGCTGTTCAAGAAAGCAGTGCATTAGGCTTGCAGAGAGCGCAGCTGGAAGCTTTGCTACATCCAGTTTGATTGACACCCACCGGTAATGCGCATGTGGCGAGATGCTTGGTGACGTGCAAGGAGAGCAGGTTGAGACAGGTGTCACATCAGCACAAAAGACGCAGGACGTAGCTGTTGTCAAGGTGCAGGGGCTTGAATTTATGGCGACCGACTTTGCAAGCTGGGAGGACAAGTCACATCCATCGTCCAGGCCAACATGCACATCATCGAAGATAAAATGCAAAAAGCATGCGGCATCGGGCATTTTGACTAAATGGTGCTTAGGCCTGCTTTTTTGTGAACACAATTCCGCATGAACATGGCTGCGTAAGGCACAGGAAGCTGGGAGGAGATGCTTTGCCAGTCACACGGAGCGAGAGCGGCAAGAGTGAAACATTCTTGAGGAAGTGCAGCTCTTGCCGTGGGCTCGCGAGCGTTTGATGTCGCTTCTTGGAGGTTCCGTCGAATCCAACACTTCATTTTTTTTGCTGTCAGCTTTTGTCTTGATAGGACCGCAGGCATTGGAGGGACTACCAGAGCTGCGTGTTTCGATGCCAAATTCAGGCCACTCAGAAGTCGGGCCGATGCGTAAGACTTGGTTGCTGGCAGGCCGGGTGGAGGTCATCGGCGTGAAGGAGATTGACGGCCTGGCATCAATGTGGCCCAACCAAGGAGCTTTTTCCGGAAGGCAAGCGCACTAAGCATACTTTGTTTGCCTGCAGGAGAAAAGCGGCATCTCTTTGATCTTTCCTTTCAGGCTTGTTTCACTGAATATTTGAGATCATTCACTGATTCGGTTGGCTACCAGGTGGTGTTCAAAGCAACATGGCTTGCTGACGTGGGCATGATGTCAATGGACGGATCCGTGTACTTTGACGACTTCACCAGCAATTTGGGAAACCATGCGGAGGCGTCTAGAAGCAGACATGCTGCCATTCATTGTTTCAGAGTTCAGGCCGTCTACGGCATGTCAATCGATTTCGCCAACAGCAGCGAATCTGTTGTTGAGATGTGCAGGGCTCAGTTGACTTGACTGATCAGATGAGCTCTGAAGCTGTCACAAGTTTTCATTTGAACTCACAGGGTGCACGACTTGAGGCAACGTAAGGCCATGCAAGAGACCATTGGCGCTGCAAAGGCATCAGTACAGGAGAACTCATTGCAAGTGATCTTGCAACTCTCTTCGTTGCACCACCCAGTGCCCAACGGCCTGGCACACTGAAGTCTGCTTGATCTCAGGAGGCGCTGGGAGCTGATGGCTGGTCAATTGCGCAAGGAGCCGCGGCATGCACCATGTTAGTCGGCACCGACTGTGACACACAGGCCGTGGCCTAATGCACCGGGTACACCTTCGCCTGCGCCGCTTTGCGCTTGATTTCGAAGCAAAGTGAATTGAAGCTTCGAATTCTGAGCTTCGAACTTTGCATGTTTTGCAGGGCCAAGCCTTGCCTGGAGAATCCTGGAAATGCCTCATTCCTCCCACAGGCAATGCATGTCGAAAGACGCAGACCCGATGAAAATGTGCACTGGCGAGCGTCATGCAAACAAGTTGGCGACTGGGCTGGAGCACTGCATCCAGTCAGCCTTGCAGTGGCTTTGCTAGATTGCCGTTCACAGTTGCACTGCTGACAGTCTATCGTGGCATGAGACTCAGGTCAATTGGCTGACGGGAACAGAGCTGGCAGACGCGGATGGCTGAAACTGGCGACATTGCATGTCTGAGAGCGACATTGAAATTGTGACTCGGGTGTACTTTCTGCAAGCATGTTTCTCATGGCCTGAGGTAAACTTTGGGGGAGGGAGCATGCGAAATGGGTAGGACTTGCAGACGTAAACGACATGCCTCCGAGTGGGTAAGCTTGGAGCACAGACAGACTGAATGGCCATGCGCAGGGAATGCTTGCAGTTTTTGTGCGTCAGTGCACCGACCTGCTCAAAACTGGACATTCTTTACGAGAGAGGGGGTGGTGAGGTTTGCACATCAATTGAGCTCGAGGGCAGTACTTCTTCACCTCATCGTTTGGGAGTCCTTGGTTTCTGAATATTAGCAAAAACACGTGCTGTAGTTTTGTGGTCGGTGCGTTTGCGGGGCATACAGATCAAAGGCGCAGCCTAGGCAGACATTGACAGCCATGCGATTAGGAAAGGCTATTTTCCGTTCAATTATCGTGTGTTTGTGGTGACACATACATTCAGTCTCATAGCGCAGTTTTGAGAGGCGCAATGTTCGCGCTGCCTTTGCTGTTGGTGGCAGCTGCTGTTCCCACCAAAGGCTGTGAAGAGTTGGTGCCAGATACTGCACAGGCCAATTACCGATCCATCACTCAATGTTTGCTTGACGAGCAGAAAGTGGTGCTCGGACCGGGAACATTCCTGCTGCCTCATGGAGTGAAAATGCCCTCGAACACCAGCCTTGCAGGTTCCACAGTGAATGGCCTCATGGTTTCCCGGCTGCTTCTGGCAGTGCCGTCGGCGATAACGCACTATGTGCTACAGGTGTCTTCTGATTCTGAAGTCACATCGGTGGTGTTGGATGGTGGTGAGATGCAGAAGGATGAGACTTGCTGCCGAAGTGTACTGAGTCTTGTAGGCAACACTTCCTTGGTGACTGATGTGGAGGTACTTGGAAGCGCTAGAGGTATCGGCATATTGGTCGAGAACCCAACTTCTCACGACAACCTTGTATTGAGGGCACATGTACATGACTGCTATTATGGAGTGATCTTTGCCGCAGGCCTGCACTCCCACAATCAGAATGTGGTCCAGCAAGGTCTCGTGGAGGATATTTATTGTGATGCAGTCACATTTGCTGGCCATGGTCAAGTACGTGGCACAGTTATTCGCAGGGTTGGCTATGCATGTGGTGCACCCTCATTTAGCACCGGTGCTGGATTTTTTTGCAGAGGTAACAGGCAAGGTGGGCTTGTACAATCCTCTCATGTTTCAGACACATGTGGGATGTCCCTGGATGTGGATACCTGCTCTTATTTGGATGTTTCACAGAGCACTTTTGATGGTTCAGGTTATGATTGGAGCGGAAACCATACACACTGCTGGGGCATGCCAACTGCCGCCTTGCTAGACTCTCAAATGTGTTCCATCAGAGGCAATCAGATGTCAAATGTGCGTGCTTCCAACAACATCAGCTTCTCAGGCGACCCTCACCAAGTCTACAGCCAGGTAGCAGCTCAGCTTTTTTCAGATCTTCCACATGGCAACGAAACCATTGTTAACTTTGCGATGCTTCACCGGCCAAATGCCGGCGCCTGGCCCTGCGTCGGCAACGAAGTGATCAACAACTCCTTCACATGCGAGGACTGCGTGGCTTACTTTGCAGGCCGCGGAACGGGATACGCCGGGCACAGCGAGTCGCAGCCCTCGACCTTCGAAGGAAATACCGTGCTGGGGTTGTCTGTCCGGTGTGGAGGGAACCTCTATGCCGCGCAGGAACCTGTCTGTCGAATGGGCTCCGGCTGGCCTTGCAATGCCGATGACTACCTCCACCCGGAAACAAATTTCCGAAACGACCACTGCAGCCATTTTGCTGCGGACATCTATCCAATGTCTGTACTGCCGGGAGGTTTGCTTCGAAACCCACTCCCCCTGCCATCAGGCGAGGTGACGCACAAGGCGCCGACGGCCAAGCCACAACAGTCGCTGAGCGCACCTGCAGCACCTCGTTGGCAAGACACGGGCAGCACGCCGTATGGAATGGTGTTTCGCTTTGGGTAAAAGGTAAAATGCAAAGATCGGATTTTAGGTTACTGTTGCATGTGGCACTGACAAGCAATAGTTTACTTCTGCACTGTGCACAATTGCATGTTTGCGCAACTGTCTGGGCTCTCAGATTATTTCACCTCGGGGCAGGCTAAACACTAGCCGCCCAGATCCTTTACCCAAAAGCGACATGTGTGATCTGGTACAAGCACAGCAATCGTTAAGAATTGTTTCCATATCAGGCATTGCTCACACGTGTAGAGAGGCTGTCCTGATCCTGATCTCGAATAGTTGGCCTCGCGCCGGTGCGTCAGGTCGGCAACGGGTCACAGAAAGAGAGGTGTTTTGCTGTGCCCGTCAGTGGGCGCCTGCTTCCTTGTGGGGACCTTCAGATATGCCCGCAGAAAGCTTTCTTTGGATGAAGCAGTTTTCTCTTGAAGTCAACAGCTGGATTCGGAATGGAGCACACTTTGCCCATGTGAAATTGTTGGACCTGACTGTCAGGCGAGATTGACATGGCAGCTGAGCAGGAGGACATTGAGGTTTGAATGTCCTGCTGTGCGTTGGCCCGCATGTTGCTTTGATCGCCTCCAGCTTCAACACAGTTAAAAAAAGCAAATGGCTGCAACACTCAACGGAATTTAAGTAGGACACATCGAACTTCATCGAACCACTTCACACATACCACAAGTGTGGGTCATGCAAGAAGTTTGACAGCTGAAGGAACAGTTGGATCTCTGGTTTTGACAAGTTATTCTTGCCACAGCAAAGCACTCTGGAATTTCCAGGCTCGGTTTCGATGCTTAAGCTAAGCGCCTTTCACCGCGATGTTCGGGAGCAATGATCCCCAATTGCTCGGTTCTAGTCTCAGAGCGTCTGGTTTTCGCTGTAGCATTGCGCTTTGTGGCCTTGCATGTCTAAGGCTGAGCTTGTGGATTTGTTCTCTCCCCTCAGAGAGGACACAGCACGGTCTGCAAGCGGGGGCGAAGGTCAGTCTTTTGCGAGGACGCTGACCCTGGAGAAAGCCAACACTTTGCCGGAGACTCGGAGACTTGGGCTTAAGATTCTCACGAGTCTCGTGTTGCCCAGGAGCCTCGCGTCCGGGTGGACGATGGCCTTTTGCTGAGGCATCGACGTAATTCTGTTTGAAGACTTCTCGAAGAGTTGCGCTGAAAGGCGTGCCGTGTGGTTCTGCCATCGCCGACATGTACAGTGCCTGCGTGCCACTTCACCGACATCCCGGCTTGTGTTTTATGAGCTACCACCAAGAAGGGTCGGTGTGAGGTATATGTATTGGAGCGTAGCTGCATTGAACGCGCAGTGCATGCCAGGCTGCTTAGACTCAGCATAGAAGTGCTGCTGTTGGTCATCGTGCTCGCGCAAATATCCTGCCTGGTGGTACTACACTCAGCCTCGGGCTT